GCCATTTTACGCCCGGAAAATCTGAACTTGCCAATTGACGCCCGGAAATTAGAAATTACGCCTGTAAGACGTCTCTTCTCCTGAGGCGTAACTTTTTGAAAATTCCGTCTCCGTCTCAAATACGCCCGGAATTTGACAATTCCTGCTCAATTCCACCCAAATTCCAGGCGGAATCCGCCTTAAAAATTCATACAGGTATATGCAGTCAGTCGTACCGGTGTGTTCAGTTCTCTTAAATGGTCATAACTTTTTCATTTTTGAATGAAATTTGGCAAGTATGGGATTTTTTTTTCTTATAAAAGCATGAATTACTTTCGAAATCTGAAATTATAATTTGTAAATATTAAAGGACTGAAATTTTCATGGGGAGAATCCATAATTATGTTATGCTCGAAGAGTCATAATGGTGAGTTCTCATAAAGGCAGTTTATAGTATATGATATAATAATTTTTTTTAAAGGATAGGGGTGTTAAATTAAACATTAAAAAATATATAATTCAATACCTTGGTACTTGAGAAGCCTTTCTACTACTTATTCAAAGTTGTTTTAAAATCCCTATCACAGGTATAATTAGTTAATGACACCTTAGGGTATTTCACTGTGTATTCATTCATGCAGGTAGACTGCTAGCTCCAAGGCAATCACACCTGTACAAAATTAGCCCCTCCCTCACCTGGAATAAAAATACCACCCGGTAAAAATTCTCTGCCTTTAAATGACCATTTCTTTTTCTTCTTTTTTTTTCTCAATCATATTAAGCCAATATGGAATTATTTTTGTTGTTGTTAATATTAAATGTTGTTGAAATATTTAAGATAACTTTCTTATCTGCATTATATCAAGTTACATTTATATCCACATATATTACTTGCACTTACAAAAAGAAGACTAATGTTAAAATGTAAAATTTTACATACATGTATATCTTGTTGCAGTGATGTTTATTAATCAAATTTAGTTGTCTAAAATATATAATATATTACCTTTACAATTTAAAAATATGTAGGAGTTGATGCCTCAGATTTAATTACACCGGGAAAACAAAGACAATCTGCGCATAATGGTATAGGAAAAATCAGAGGCATAAAGAAAACAAGAGGCCCATGGGCCACATCGCTCACCTGAGTAACTTGGGTGATTCAGATCTTTTTGAAAGATTTGTTCTATATATATTTCTATGTAAAACTTGGATTCCCCATTGTGGCCCGCCCTACGCCCGAGGGTAATGATTTTAACAATTTAATATCTACACTACTCAAGGATGCTTCCACATAAGTTTCAGCTTTCCAGGCCTAGTGGTTCTTGAAAAGAAGATTTTTAAAGATTTGTTCAATAAATTTCTATGTAAAACTTGGATTCCCTATTGTGGCCCCGCCCTACCCCTGGGGGTCATGATTTTAACAATTTAATATCTACACTACCCAAGGATGCTTCCACATAAGTTTCAGCTTTCCTGGCCAAGTGGTTCTTGAGAAGAAGATTTTTAAAAGATTTGTTCTATATATTTCTATGTAAAACTTGCATTCCCTATTGTGGCCCCGCCCTACCCCCGGGGGTCATGATTTTAATAATTTAATATCTACACTACCCAAGGATGCTTCCACATAAGTTTCAGCTTTCCTGGCCCAGTGGTTCTTGAGAAGAAGATTTTTAAAGATTTGTTCTATATATTTCTATGTAAAACTTGCATTCCCTATTGTGGCCCCGCCCTACCCTCGGGGGTCATAATTTTAACAGTTTAATATCTACACTACCCCATGATGCTTCCACATAAATTTCAGCTTTCCTGGCCAAGTGGTTCTTGAGAAGAAGATTTTCAAAGATTTGTTCTATATACTTCTATGTAAAACTTGGATTCCCTATTGTGGCCCCGCCCTACCCCCGGGGGTCATGATTTTAACAATTTAATATCTACACTACCCAAGGATGCTTCCACATAAGTTTCAGCTTTCCTGGCCTTGTGGTTCTTGAGAAGAAGATTTTTAAAGATTTATTCTATATATTCCTATGTAAAACTTGGATTCCCAATTGTGGCCCCGCCCTACCCCCGGGAGTCATGATTTTAACAATTTAATATCTACACTACCCCAGGATGCTTCCACATAAATTTCAGCTTTTCTGGCCCAGTGGTTCTTGAGAAGATTTTTTAATGACCCCACCCTATTTTCACATTTTCTTGATTATCTCCCCTTGGAAGGGGTCTTGGCCCTTGATTTTTACAATTTAAATTCCCCTTTACCCAAGGATGCTTTGTACCAAGTTTGGTTAAAATTGGCCCAGTGGTTCTTGAGAAGAAGTTGAAAACGTGAAAAGTTTACAGACGGACGGACGGACAGACAGACGGACGACGGACACCGGGTGATCAGAAAAGCTCACTTGAGCTTTCAGCTCAGGTGAGCTAAAAACCTTTGTAGACGAGTTGACTCCTCAATTTTTTTTAAACCTTAAGTACGACTTGGTTTGTGTACGAGTTGACTGTAAATCATCCGAGATCTCAACTGCGCTTGGCAATCCCAGTAAAATAATACATCATTTGATGAATTGTCGCAACAGAGATGCAAGAACTCGGAAAGAAGAATTTGGTGATTTGATCCGATTTTAGTCAATAATTGATTTAAAGACTAAATTTTAAGGATTAATTCACGTACATTTAATTCAATTTAGTCTCATTCATATTCATTTCTTTGAGATATTGGTTTAACATGCTTGAATTAGTTCATTATCATCTCAACACAAAGTAAAGCAACTAGCAAGTGAGTATATAAATCAGTAAATGATCAAAGTTATATCAACAGTTACAGATAGTATAGCTGTATATGAGCCTTGGGTAAATTCACCTTTCAACAGACACTAAACAGGTGTAAATAAAAAGAAATACATTTTATTATCAGAAAGAAGTGTTAGGAAGGAGCATGTTACATGTTACATATTGTGAACAAATAATGAAATATGACTGTATCAAACACAATAACAGAAGAACATGCAAATCTGTGACTTGACACATTTTTAATTGAAAGACATGTAAAAAGTACTGTCAGAATTATGAAGTTCATATCTTGGATTCATTAATCATGTTAGTTAATTATGTTAGCAGCTGTCATTATAATCATAATCATTCAGACAAGTTAAAGAAATATATATTGTTACATAGATAACCTGCGTAGACCTAGATATTCATATGATAGATACATGTATAACAAATATCATTTCAATGTGTACAACCACTGCAAAGAAAATGAATGGCAACTGATGGTGGACAGACAAATCATCAGTAGCAAGACAAATATGCCTTAATTATTGGTGGTAAATAACAAAAAATGATAATGAAAAAAAAAATTTGAGAATACTACATGTATACTACATGTTACATTCTTCGGCACTAGAAATAAAACACCACTCTTAACAGTGCTTAAGGTTACTTATTGCGGTTATTTCAGATTTGTTATATATTTAATAGGTTGGTGGGATAATTTCTCCCATCACATACCAAAAATATGGGATAAATCCTATATTGACATCAATTAGTGGGATATTTTGTCCTGTGGGAAAAATAATCCCATTTCTGCAACAACCGTGGGATTTTTTTTCCCATGTGGGAGAAATTATCCCACAGTACTTTTTCTCCCATGGGATTTTGGTGGGATTTTTGGTGGGATGAAAAATCCCGCCATTCTCCCATGGGATTTTAGGTTTTGACAGAGGTTTATGAGAAAACTACTACAATGTGGAAGTTGAGATTGACATGATGAGGTCAGAATAAAAAATCCCACCAAAATATAGAAAAAAATCTAATTTAGGTCTTTTCGAAAGGGTACCTAAAAGTCCGGACTTTGTCGTGTCCGGACTTAAATGTCGCAGTGTTACTATAAAACTAAACTTCTCATCACAGTATCCAATCAAATACCTGGGTTCATCCATACATGAATAGCATGCTTGACCAAATGAAAACACTATGGAAAAGCCTTAGTGTTATAAATATATACAAACGCTCTTTTCTAATACTTTGTATGGAAGTGCATTATGGAAAAAATTTAAAAAAAAAAATTCAAATGGGTTTTTATTAAGTAATTGATTTATTGATAAAAATACGCGGTCACATTTACATATAGAAAATATCATATTTATAACAAAATGAAATTCAGCAAAATAACTGACTAATTGAATTTAGAATTAACTTTGTTATTGAAATTATCTGCTTTCTACGAACATATATTAGTATATTATGTAAACAAAACATTACACGGACCATGTCTACATAACAAAAGGTTTGGAGCTTTTAATCTGTCTTGTTTCTTAACAACCGAAGTTTAAATTTTTGATGATCATTAGAAAAACTAGTTAATAATTTGATAAAAATTGAAATTTTTTTTTTAGCTTAAACTGTGTCCATGCCTCTTAAATTTAATGAGATTAACATATCATCAGTTTATTCCTAATTCAGCTCAGGTGAGCATTTGTGCCAAATGCCACCAAAAGGTATTTTTTAGCCCCCTAAAATTTTTTACTTGAATCCCCAAGGGAGACATTATTCTACGATGGTCATTTTTCTTCACGTTGGGTATGCAAATTGTTAGGGTGATGACACTTTTTCTACGGGCAAAAGGGTCTTTTTTCGACGTGTCGAAAAAATGACCCCGGTCATTATATATTGTATGGTGGTCATTTTTCGCATTTTCACTGGCATAACAAAATCGATTTCGATGTTTGACCGCTGATTAAGATGCCTACATGTAGCAGTGTTGGGAAGTTTAGTAGTGTGCTAGTTTTTTCTCTCTTTCCTTCGCTCTTATGACTTTTTAACATTTCTCTTTGTCCCGAGGATGGGACAGGGCGTTCCGAAAATTTGAAAAATTTTTATTGTTCGTGTCGTTGGTCATTTTTAATGCTTTATATATAAATGTCCACCATACGTAAGAGGGGAGAGAGAGAGAGCTTTACAATATAGCTCAACAATTATCATTTATTTCTTCACTTTAATTTAAGTATTTGCTGTGATTGTTGCAGGTGTCTTTGGATTCGCTCTGGGCATGGTAGTTTTGTCAGATTATGATCACACACGGCTTGGATGGTCATTTTATCTCTCAGTTGCTATGAATTCAATTATACTTTTTGTGGTAAGTAATCATGAAATGAACAATATAATACAAAATTCACTCACTCTTTACAAAGATTTTAACACGAAATATGAAGATAAAGAATAGTAATCAATTTCAAAAGTCCATATAAATTGAACTTTCAGGATACAATGACGATACTCATTGGCATAATACAATGTATTTGTGAGAACAGGGACTATAGTCCACTGAACTAGAAGCAGATAATCGTTAATAAGATATGGTTAGTATTTAACTCTCAGTTTTCTTCGTGTATTTGATTTTAATATTCAATTATATGATTCAATTCCTTTTTCCTCTATTTCAGAAAAGTACTTTCAGTCTTTGCTTGGTTGATGAATCTGTGTAGTTCTATGAGCAATTGTTTTTAACGCAAGCTTTAATTTTTATTGTGCCTATTTACGAAAAAATGTGCATATGGCTACTTATATACATGTATTTATGACCTTTTTACACCTTGTGTCACATTTGAATTGGTTGCTCCTACTGTTATTTACAATGATTGATCAAACATTCAATATGTATAAGCGTGTAAAGTGAGCTCTACAGACAAAATGTATAAAGACTTTTATTTAGGGCATAAAATTTAATCAAAATGCCTCTTAAACAAGTTTAAATTTTCTTAATGGATGTCAAGATTTCTAGATGATGATGATTAAATATTATAAAGCACTCTGAACTTTAAACCAAAACTTATACATGTACTGCAAAATCAATCAAAAACGCCAAACAGTTGTTATTTACATGTAGATTTTTTTTATATCAATTCCCTTCGACAAATAGATCATCGATAGGACCAAAGTCAACCTAAAGAAAAAGAATTATCCTCATAAGTTGTGTGAGTATTTGTCATAAAAGAATCTAAAATTCAAAGCCTCAATATAGTTAAATAAAATTGTTATTTAACGAATCAGAAATTGTTCTGAGATATTTATCCTCGTGATATTCTATTCTCTCTTCACGTGAGATTTGTAATATAACACGCAAGGTTAATTGTTTGATGTAAACATTTTTAGAATTAGTAACATTCTAGAATATTGCTCTTATTTCTGGCAGAAGTGTTTTTTATTTCATTTTATTTTTGGTTGCTTTCAAAATAATTTTGAAAAGAATTACTTTTGTTCTTTACACAGACAAGGAAAATTTAACCGTGTCATTTAATTTGCATTAATAAACGTACTTTAGGATTTTGTCACGCTGATCTGTATTTCTATAATTATGTCTTGTACACAAAGAGAAAAATTGTCCACTAGATTACTAAGCCATTCATATGAAAGATATTGTATGTGAAGTTTATTTTCTTGAATGTAAATAAAAACTAGATTATTGTTACCATTATTGATATTCAAATACTTTTTTTATGTGTAATTAAAAAAATGAATATGTTATATTCTCTCAGTGCGCTCTCAATTCTTGTTTGTTTGTTTTTTTTTTTCATTCCACCATTATGTTTGCCTTTTGTTTCATGCTTTGATTATTCAATAAATGATTATTTCTAAACTTCTTTCTTGATTGCTGTGTTTCATTTATTTTGTTTACAAAAGATCAAAATTTCTATTGACGTTATATTTACTGGAAAAATCAATAACTTAAACCTTAATTTACATCAGTGAATTCGAAAGACAAGTCAGGGATAAAATAAAGTGTGTGTAAATTCAAGTTTTTTGTCTGAAAAACGTCTTTTATTTCTTGTCTGTTTGCATTTAATTTGCGTAAGTGATAAATACTATCTTTATGAAGAATACTTATTAATCTTTGATTTGTTTTTAAAATGTAATCCTGGTGTTCTGGCTAGGTTACCGCATAAATTGTGACAAAGGCAAAGTACCGGTATATTGAGTGAGAATTGTCATTTATTAAAGACAATAAGTATCGGTATAAACACATTTATTTCCTATTTAGCTTGTAACACGAGCTTTGATTGGTTACAAAGTCGGGTGTAAAATTCCGTACATCCGACTTGAGCCGAGAGTTAATAACATGTGACGTCACAATGCATACTTTTTCTATGATAAAAAGCAAATGACATGACGTCACGATGCATTGTAGTCCGTAGTTATCTTATCGATAAATTGGAACAAAGTTGATTAGACTCTAATGTTTACGAAGAATTTGCATGGCCATGGGTACATAGGAAATAAATTCGTTATCCAGGTCCAATCAAGGGTGTATTATATAAATTAAGAAGCGATCACCGGTATAATAACTACCGTAATCTGGAAATTTTTACGTAGATTTTATTTTGCGAATCTGGGTCAAAATGCTGTTGATTAATTTTTACGTTTCAAACTTTTAGGAATGACGGTCAGACCACTACTTTATTTGCATTTTCTTATTGTTGAATTATTTTTAAGAAAAATATTTTTGCGAATGCAATGAACTCGCAAAGGAGTATATACAATAAGAGCCAATTTTGGCCCCTTAAATCAACATTTTAGAATGACATTTAGATAATTATGTTTAACTGATATTTATTTTGAAGAATAGATTATATTAGACATATTTCTAATATATTTTTCACATGTATATGCACTTTCTAGCTGTTAATGGCATGAAAAATAAGGCTATTTTTGCTATCGAACAAAAAAGCCAAAAATTTGCCTTTTTTCTTGATGTTTTTTCTTATGGGAAACATAGAGCGCAGTGTAGAACATACATAATTTTTCTGTCACTAATCAGTATTTGATAAATACATCTTTGGTAAAAATATGAAGCTTGTTCTAGGCTGCACTCGATCTATATTTTCTGGAAGAAAAACTGCTTGAAAATATGCAGTTTTATACAAAATATGCTAAAATGGCGGGAAAACATGATTTTTATGATGTCATATTTCTAAATTAACGGCATTTTGATGAAAATGACCAATAAAGGTCGCAAATATAGCAAATATAGCTGTATAAATTAAAGCTATATGTAAAATAAAATTTAGATATTTATTTTAAGGGGCCAAATGAGACACTTACCATTATCGCTCTTCGCTAAAAATTTATCTACAGCATAAATTTCCAGATTTACGGTATTAAGCATAACGAAATTTCCAATGAGATATTCCCAGTTGCAAACAATCATCTGAGATTGCTTAAAATATTTTGACCAATAAAAAGTACATAAACCATAAAGTTGTCAAAACCAGAAAAAAGCCACCAAAAGCAACGGCATAAAATGAAATGAAATTAAAATATATGAAAAAGGTATATTTTAAACTAAATGAAATTAAAAAAAATGTACCGCCTATATTCTCCTTTTACTTGGTTTAGTACATAAAATTCTAAATTTAGTAGCTCTGCAAATTCCAGGGGGGGGGGGGGGTGTCTTGTCCCCCCCCCCCCCCCCCCCCCCACTATATCCGTGCATGGTGATTTTAGTCATCGCTTTTGTATACTTTTGACAAATGAAAGATAAATTTTAAAAAAAATTATAAATTATGTTTTTAATAACGAAATTACAGACATGATCAAAATGCAACTTCTTTATTTTCAGTTTGTGCTTTTAATCAATTACTTTGTTCTCGAAAAATGAATGAAAAATGCACGGTATTCCTTGTCTACATATAGAAGACGATATTCCTAATTATTACGTTTGGATTAATTTTTTAAGTATCCAGTGTTTTAATAACCTGTTATTGTTTCTGCAAAAAAAACCTTATTATTAGTGTTTACTGATTTAAGTGCTTTCAGGCTTATAAAGAAAAAGTAATTAAGAATGAAAGACACAAAAATGTCATTTTTCTTTATTTTTCTTTATTTTTACATGAAATATTTTTATCTAAAAAATTCAAAAAAAAAAAAAAAAAAAAAAATATATATATGTATTTCCACCTTCTCCTTTCAAAATCTCTTTTAATTCTTCTGTAGATTTTTTTCTTCTTGTCTCCGATTTTTTTTTATTTGTTTCAGAGTTTATATAAATATATAAATGGTCCTTATCGCCAAAACTTTAAAACAGTAAACTGTTCGAAGAACAGTAAGACCTTCAACAATGTCTTCTTCTATTCTAAATGAAGCTTCGATCTATTCATCTTGAAAGAATATTATAGATATTTTTTATTAGTTATTTAGGCTGAAGAATTTTAAACGATGTAGTCATGGAATGTGAAGATAACGAAAAGTATACAAGCTCATACGTCCACTGGAACAATACATATTGGGAGTAGAGCAAACACAGATCCCCTAAAACATCAGAGTTGGGATTAGGTGCCATGAAGGAGGAAGCCTTCTCTGTCGACTCGTCACATCCGTCATGAGTGGGCAAATGAACACTCGAAAACATCAGACAACATTCGCTCTAACGATATATTGTATAAACTAACAAGGTCATTGTAATGACCAGTCAATTTGCAAAATGTTGACTTTAAACGGGAATTTAAATTACTGCTGTGCTTAATATACATGTAATTCCATGAATATACTTAATTTGTTTTTCTTTTCTTGTTGCAATGAGCTTGACATCGAGCATCCTAAAAGAGGATAAGAACATTTGATTTTATTAAAATTTAGCTTTTTATTTATGCAATACATTCTTCTCGTTCTGAGCTAAAAATAGTGTAGTTTAGTTGTAAAAGTTAAATTTTTCGTAAGATTTCTTTATTTTTGTACATTACTCTAATACTTCATTTTACATTATAATGAAAAAAAGATTGCTGCTTGTGTACATTGTGTTCCACATTTATGGGCATGATTCCTTGTTCAGAATTTCTTAGAGAGCATAAATTAAATCTTTGGAATGTCTTATCAGTCAGACGAAATTTCAATGAGGAACGATTTGACAATTTTTCAATACGCAGAACTGCCCCGTATTTAATCCAATAAAGTTTGCCCCACTACAACTTGTTTGAAGGATTTAAAATGTACAAATAGCATATCATATTAATTATAACAGCCAGAACTACTTACATTTAAAAGCGACAATATACAGATGGCTAAAAATTGTACATGATTGGGTACATTCATGGTTCAAAAACATTTAATATCCTCCAGTCATTTCGAATCTACAATTTTCGATGAACAAATCGCATTATTGTTAAAACATCGCTTATTCGATTCATTACAAATTATGAATTTAACAAACAAAAAGCTTTCTTTCTGGATTTTCAAAGAAAAAAAACACACGAAATATTGCACCTATTTTAAGACAAATTATGATTGCAATCAAGGTATTACAACTCGTCCCCCTTCAAATCTAGGATCGATCCTTAAAATTTTGGGTCGGCTGGTCCTTCCAGGATGTCTGGAAACGGCCTTGGGGCCACATCAGGTTCAAATCTAGGAACGGTTAAATCTAGGGCTGGTCCTTCTAGGATGTTTGGAAACGGCCTTGGGGCCACAGGTCTTATTCTTGTAAGATCTACACCTGGACATTCGAATATATAAGAACTACCGGTACATGGTTTTCCACACCTACTTAGTGAAGGGCTATTGCATGATCTGCGAAAAGCACATCTGCCAAGGGATCTCCATGACGACCATCCACCATCTCGGGGAATACAGGAATCCATTTGGTGAAATCAAGGTCTTTTTTGAATTCAGAACAGGAGAATTCTGGTGTTCTAAAATACTTTTAAAACTGAACATCATATTTTGCAGAAAAGCCGCTTCTTCGGAGCAGAAGATATACTTAAGATAATTAAAGATAACTAAACGACAAATTTAAATCCAGGCCTTTTAAAATCATTATCAGCTGCTTCTTCTATAAAAATGGAACTCGTAAATTTACTTAACTCGTCATTGGTCATTTGTAAAATTATTTTGTTAAAACAGCTTCTGATTGCACACATAAATACCCTGAAGTTGACATCAAGAAGATGCTTGAGTTTCAGCAGGTAATATGCTGAATAAGAGCTCCAACAATTTTTCGAGACTCCTGGAAAAGTGGGTCGTCGTTCCAACCAGGGTTTACTTTTTTTGAGATTTTTAGCAATTCTGTTGTGCTCCCGGTGCCAAATAGTCTGGAGGGAAATTAAGGCTGCTTGTTGGATAACTAGTCTATCACGTTATAAAAGTTGGTTTAAGCATATATCAAAATTATAGCAAAAATTTTAGACTAAAACCATAATGTAAATTAATTAATTAGGACTTCTTTTAAAATTTCAAGATTTCAGATTTTTCGAAAATGGATGTTAGATTCCTTGCTCTTGCATTGTTTAGAAATCTCAACTTGAACATTTGAATGACATTAATTGTTCTTATTTGCTTTTTCTACGGAGTCGAGTTGAAGGCCACAGCAAGTGTTTTCTTCTTTTCACGCATAAGATTTTGCATAAATTCTGGTTCATATGAATATAAAAATAAGTCTGCTGACAACGGAGCGCATTTTGTACCCATGGGAATTCCAATGCACTGTTGTAATACCTGGTTTCCAAAAACCACATAGATTTTGTCAATCGGAAACTCAAGCATCTTCTTGATGTCAACTTCAGGGTATTTATGTGTGCAATCAGAAGCTGTTTTAACAAAGTAATTTTACAAATGACCAATGACGAGTTAAGTAAATTTACGAGTTCCATTTTTATAGAAGAAGCAGCTGACAATGATTTAGAAAAGCCTGGATTTAAATTTGTCGTTTAGTTATCTTTAATTATCTTAAGCATAGCTTCTGCTCCGAAGAAGTTTATTTGAGTTTAAGTAACCTACAAACATGAGATTCTAGGTGTAGAAGTGAATCAACATCAGATTTTGCAGGATGCTCACTGTTTTGAATGTTTACTGATTTCATCTATCTTAATTTTAATCCTGTGTCAAAAAGAGAGAAATGAAGAACCGCAATGATTTACGTTTTTTTTTTTTTTTTTTTTTTTTTTTTTTTTTTTTTGGGGGGGGGGTCTTTTAAATGTCTTTTTTATACAGCCAAGAATTTAACGACGATCTATTTGAAATAAGAGGATGTTAATACCATTCTATTCTATACCATGCTATTCTATAGGCTTAAACCTCAAATATTTTTTTTCTTTAAAAAATTTGACAATATTTCTTTAGACAAAGCATTAAATTGGATGCCGTGACTAACGGATTGTCCAAATTCCATGGAGAATTGTGAGAGACCCATGGCGTGTGTATTGTATTCCTTTGCTTATTTCCCTGGGACCTGGTGATGTGCTCCCGTTTAAATCCTGACTTTTTGTCTGTCTGTGAACATGCATACTGATATCAAAATGCCTTTATTTTAAATTCCATTATCTTTAAATTCTGAACAAACGTTTAAACATTGTCTTTTTTCCTCTCACAAGAGTTATATATATGTATTCATAACTCATTTAATTATGTGACATTTTTAATCTTCGAATCGTGAAATATATGTCTAAAATATACTTATTTTCAGATTTTGGTTAACATTGAAATACTAAATTTTTGCCTGTTATACCTACATCATGTATTGTATTTGCTAACAAGACCATTGCATCGACCAATCAATTTGCAAAACGTTAACTTTAAACGGGACTACTGATATCCATTTATAATCAATTTATTTGGCAATAGCTTGCCTTATTTAAGAAGGATATGGAGATAACGTACAGTATTCAATCTCAAAGTCCATAAAGCAATACAAAATAAGAGCAGAGCAAACACGGACCCCTGAAACAACAGAGGTGGGATCAGGTGCCATAGAGGAGTGAGCATTCCCTGCCAACCGGTCACACCTTCCGTAAGCTCCTTGTCACGATCAGGAAATAACGGAAAACATCCGTCGTCAATTCAGTGCATAAATAATGGACTAACAATTGGTATGAAAAAAGTCAGTCAGCATTTGACTTAGTGATAAATTATATTTGCTGACAAGGTCATTGTATCGACCATAGAACTTACGAAATGATGGCTTTAAACGAAACTGCTGATATTCTTGTTTCATCAACTTGCTTGTCAATAATTTACCTCGTTTTAGAAATTGTTTATACGTAGAGCACGCTCTTGCGTATCGAATCATCTGATATACTCCGTATGCAGGTGATGAAGGTATATTGCTGCATAAGTAAGGGAAGTTGACGATAGAAAAATTAAAGTCATCACTTTTATCATATAGTTTTGTTGTTAAATTACCATAAGTGTCTTTTTCATATAAAATATCCAAGTATGAAGCAGAAGTCTCGGACTCTGTGGTATCTTTTATCTCAAGCTCACCGGGATATATCGTATCGACGTAGGAATAGAAATTATCATTATTAATTGACAATACGCCGTCGATATATTTGAATGTCGAGTTGAAGGCCACAGCAAGTGTTTTCTTCTTTTCACGCATAAGATTTTGCATAAATTCTGCTTCATATGAATATAAAAGAAAGTCTGCTTATAACGGAGCGCAATTTGTACCCATGGGAATTCCAATAGATTGTTGGAATATTTGGTCTCCAAAAACCACATAGATATTGTCAATCGGAAACTCAAGCATCTTCTTGATGTCAACTTCGGAGTACTTACATGTATGTGTGCAATCAGAATCTCTTTTAACAAAATAATTTTGCAAATGACCAATGACAAGGTAAGTAAATTTACGAGTTCCATTTTTATTGAAGAAGCAGCTGTCAATGATATCAAAAATCCTTGATTTTAATTTATCGTGGGGAATGGTTGTGTATAAAGTTGAAAAGTGGTAAGTTTTTAAGCTGTTGATTTTGGTGAAATCTTGTGATTTCAAATTGTCCAAGAGTTCTTTGGAATTTTTTTAAAAGTATTTACGTCTGATTTACACCACTTCTTGAATGTATTGATGCACAGTTTTCTTGAAGTTTCTCCTTAACTACTGTTAATATTTTAGTGAGGAGTAAAGAAAGAGGCTTAATTGGTTGAACATTTACAGAAAACCGCTATGTATCTTTCTTTGTAAGGATTCTTATGAAGTTTCGGAATCCAATATATATATATATAAAGTAGTTCAAATTCATCTTGGCTCTGTGGAATATTAAAAGCATTCAAAAATGACGGGTGATTTTGAAGAAATTCTTCCTTAGAAAGGGACGTATGAGTATAAGTAGAATTACCACTGGTAGAACTAAATCCAATTTCTTCTAGAATGCAATTTATATAATGAGCCTTACAAACAAAGACAATGTTGTTACCTGCTTTGTCGGCGGGAACTAGTACGTACTGATCGTATTATCTATCTAATTCTTATTTCACTTCTGGTTTATTGAACACAGAAGGATAGATGGTATTCATATTGCCCCTCAATCTTTTAATACGTGACTTTAACATGGATCTGATACATTTAATCCATTTTGAAAAGGTGTCTTCTTTTTCATAGCTGGCCCATCGTCTGGCGTAATTCTCAACAGAAATGATAATATTTATGAAATTCCGACGCCAGTCTCAGGATCAGGGTTCCCTATATTTAGGAGCTTTTAAAATAAGTGATCTAAGGTCCTCATTACGAACTATATTTACGTCACCTGTAATAACGTGTCCAGCAGGACTATAGTTATTTTTATTTTATTTTACCGGATTTATATAGCACTTTTTTCATAGACATGTTCAGGAGTGCTTTACAACAAACAAGATATAGCAAATACAATACAGTGTTTCAAATCGAAATTAAAAACAATAACTCTACCTAAGAATAACATAGACAAATATATTTTTAAAATTACCAGTCATAAAAATCTAATAAGACTATAGGAATTAATTAAGCACAGATATAACATAAAATAAAATTAAGGCTACTTAATACAAGTTTCGATGAGTGTGTAATTAAAAAAATTATATTCCTTTAAAATAGAAAATTTTAAGAACGATTAAAAATTAGGTTATAAAGTTTACATGAAAAAAACATAGCAGAAAGTTAAAACTTAAAAATATCACATTTTAGCATCACTTTCTACTCAATATATCCAATGTCTTTTGATTGTTAATACCTCCAGTTACTCAACATTATAGGAGCGGAAAAGATGTGTTTTAAGCTGTCTTTTGAAAGCGTTAAGTGTCTGGGCGTTTCTAACTGACTCTGGCAGTGCGTTCCATAACCTTGGTGCAGCATGGCTAAAACTACGGTTTCCAAATGTCACAGTTCTGGTACGTGGTACTAAAAGTGTTAAAGAACTGCTAGAACGAAGGTCTCTAGCTGGTCGGTACACACACAATAAGTCTATAATGTATTGTGGGCACTGTCCATGGAGAGCCTTGTAAGTGTACAGTAGGACCTTGTAATCGATCCGTTGACATATTGGTAGCCAGTGAAGTTCCTTGAGCACTGGTGTTATATGGTCATGACGAGGAGTTTTTGTATTGATTCTGGCAGCTGTGTTCTGAACTCGTTGTAGTTTATTCACTGTCAATTTTGGAATACCGAAGAGCAACGAATTACAATAGTCAAGCTTTGATGTTACTAGACAATTAACTAATGTTTTTGTGGCATCGGTTGTAAGGTATTTCCGTATGCGTCCGGTGTTTCTCAGCTGGTGGTAGGCAGATCTACAGACAGTGTTCACGTGTTTCTCCATGTCCATTTGTGGTGTGAAGGCGAGCACCAAGATTTCTGATGCTGCCGTTTGATGCTGAAATAAATGTCTTACCAACCGTTATAGTCATATTTTCGACATGTTTGAGATTATTTTTGGAAGAAAACAACATCACTTCTGTTTTCTCAGCGTTCAGTTTTAGCATGTTTCCATTCATCCACATAATGATTTCCGTTAGACAGGACTCCACGCGGTTTATTGCTTCAGATTTTGACACAATGTCTATGGGTTTAAACGAAATCTACAGTTGTGAATCATCAGCATAAAAGTGATGCATTAGACCATGTTAACCACAGATAGCACCTACTGGCTTGGTATACATTGTAAAGTATTTCGGCCCCAATACGTATCCCTGTGGAACACCAAAATTTATAGTAACTGGATCGGATAGCTCTCCTTCAACACAAACAGTTTGTTGTCTACCATTAAGGTACGCTGAAATCTAGGAAAGGGCGTTATCTTTGATTCCGTAGAGGTTTTCCAAACGGCTTAGTAGTGTGGTATGATCCATCATATCAAATGCTGCTGACAGGTCAAGCAACACAAGAACAGTGACACAGTTATTGTCTAGTGACTGAAGGATATCGTTATGCACTTTGAATAAGGTTGTTTCTGTGGAATGAAGTTTCCTGTATGCAGATTGATATGGTTCATGTAAACTGTTCTCAGCTAGATGGTCACCGATACGTTTATCTACAACTTTTTCTAAAACCTTTGATACAAACGGGAGGTTATAAACGGGTCTGTAGTTTTTCAGTACATTAGGGTCTAAGTCCGGTTTCTTCAGTTGAGGTCTTATAACAGCACTTTTAAACTCCGTTGGTACATGGCAAGAACTGAATGATTCATTGATGATGTTTGTGATTACAGGCAGAAGTTTGTCAAGACATTATTTAAGAAGCCATGTTGGTATGGGGTCCAGTTCACATGATTTGTTGGGCGAACTTTGAATGATTTTTCTAACTTCTTCTTGCAAGGCAGGTAGAAAGTTTAAAAGTCTAGAGTTCGTTTGGGGTTCTATTTCATGTTCCTTTGCATCACCGGTCTGATCAGATCTGATTCCATCACGAATGTTTTCAATCTTTAATGTGAAAAAGTTACTTAGGTTCTGAGCTGTTTCTTTCGGTGTGGAACCAGAGGAAAGCACATTGTTATCACTGTTACCACCAAGGAGATGTTTTGTGAGTTTAAACAAGCTCTTGGTATCACGGCCTGACTCTTCTACCTTGTTTGCGTAGTACATGTATTTTGTACGGGCTTCATGCAACATGATGTTATAGACTATGCACTGATTTCTGTAGATTTGATGGTCATTGATTAATTTAGTATCTCTCCACTTGCGTTCCAACTTTCGTTTGAGATGTTTAGCTGAATGTAGATCATCACCAAACCAAGGGGACTGAGGACGAAGTGTGATAGTCTTGGACTGGACAGGCGCATGTTTGTCAACGAGTTTTGTTAGTTCATCCGTATACACTTGGGCCATCCTATCCACGTTAGAACTTGAAGCATTGTCCCAGTCAATGTTATCTATATCCTGTTTGAATAAGTCAACATCGATCGATTTTAGTTTTCTATATGTCACTGCTTTTCGAACTAGTAGTGGTTTGGTAACATTAGCGGTAAATGTAACGGCAAAATGGTCTTTTTTCATATTTTCCGCGTGACCACAGAGTCCGGGATCGGTAACAAGAATACTGGATAGAATGTTACTAGTGTCTCTAGTTATGATAACGTCTAATGTATGTCCACGGATATGTGTGGGTTCATTCACAAGCTGTTTCATGCCATTTGATTCAAGGATACTGTTAAAAGTTATTGTGTCACGGTCGGTGGGAACATCAAAATGAACGTTAAGATCACCAACAATGATTATTTCTTTGTCTGTGACTGTATACTCAGATAGAAATCTAGGCCATTCTTCTTCTAGAAATACGTTGGTCTTTAGTCCGTTTTCTTTTGAAGGAGGGGGTCTATACACTGTAGCTAACTGTAGGATCAATCCATTTATTTCTAATGTACAGTCTAGTAGTTCAAATTGTGAGAATGAGTGATTGGATGTAACTCGTTTAACAGTTATTGAACGTTTGTATATGAGTGCTACGCCACCTCCACGCTTTGATGACCCTCTGCTAACATGTTTGATGGTATAACCTTCAGGAACAAGTTCATTTATACATATCTTGTCATTACTGGTACCAAGCCATGTTTCTGTGAGGGCCACTACGTCAAAGTTGTTGGACACAATATAGTCACAAAGAGAGGCAGTTTTGTTTCTAATTGATCTGACATTAAATGAGCAAACATGGAGTTGATTCTCCACTACGTTTACCCCTATAGCCATATACACCTAAATCCTTTATCCTATGAACTGTTTCTTTGTCCAGTATGTACGGCCCTTTAGAAAATCTGCCTATTGTATACAATTCTTCACGGGTGTATTCCAACAATGGGCACAGAACAATAGTCATTATAATCCAACAGGTAATCCTGTTCTATGGTGGTTGATTTTCACTCACTCAAACAATGTAAAATTGTTTTCAAAATTATCACTACTAATATCATGAAAACTACAAACTATTTCCAGAATATAATTCCACAGTTGTTTAGATAGCACATTAATGTTCCTCTGTAGCAAGTTTCAGAATTTTACATCCACTTATTAACACACAATTTGACAAAAATGTCAGAGCAATTTTCAGTGCAGCCTACACTTGGCGCAACCTAGTTATAAGGCGAAGAAGAACATGAACATGAAGGAGGATTATGTTTTAGATAGTCGGTATCCAGGCCATGTAAAGTGATTGTAATTGAAAAGTTTGGAAGCAATGGTCGATGAATATTTGTAGGAAATACAAGGTGTAATCTTTAACTTGAAATATTGTGGAATACAAGACTGGACCCTTTTGTGATTAAGAATATTACTTATATTAACCGCATCAATTCCTTTATTGGCATATTGAAGTTTAAGGAAAAGACGGATTGTTTTAGCTGCATTTTCTTCCGTGGAGCGTGTGGGTTTAAAAAGCCTACGATATGCAATATCCGTAATCATAGATCCGAGTCTAAAATGTTCCGACGCTGAGCAATACTTTCGAATAGACTGGGAGAGTTATCTACATATGCTTATGATAATTATATATCTACTAAAATAAGGGAAGTTGATAATAGAACAGTATATCCCATTACGTTTTCCAGCAAGTGTTTTGGTGTAGGTTAACATTAATGTCTTTTTTAAGTAAGCTATCCAAAGTTAAAACATATACATGTATATTAGACTCTGTTGTTTCTTTTACTCGAGTTAACAGAGATACATAGAGAATGAACGTAAACATGAAAAGCATATTTCTAATTGATAAAGAGTTGTCGAAATATCTAAATATAGAATTGAAAGTCACAGCAAGAAACTTCTTCTTTCCATGTAAAATATTTTTGATAAATTGTGCTTCATACGAAGACAAAAATAGGTCTGAAAATAACAAGGAACAACTAGTAGTTCTAGTATCCATGAAAATTCTAACAAACTGTTGAAAGGCTTGTTCTCTAAACAATTAGTTAAATTTTATCATTTTTTACACAAAAATTAAAAAAATAACTGTCATGCTTGATACGTCTCCATGCATATACTAATATTTTTTTCTTTTTTTATCTTACAGGTAGCTTGGCATCGAGCATCTTAAAAGACGATAAGAACATCTGACTTTATCACAATTTAGTTTTTTATAATAACATTCTTTTCGTTGATAAAATTGATTTAATATTCGGAATATCGTTTTGTTTATTTATTTCTTCGAATTCTCTTCAAGAATTTTCACTCATATTGAGACGCCTCCACTTGTCGATGTAGGCTTCAAATCTAGAATAAAATGATTCTTTGTTTAAAACATACCTTATGAGTCTGAATATCTTTAAAATGGTTATATAAAGTATTTATCAGTTTGATACCCAAAGGTCTACATTTCCATGTGCTAGTTTGTAGACGTGCAATGGATTTTTAATTGGAATCTCGATTTTGTCTCAAGCAACCCTAGCAATACCCCCTTCCCCCAACTGAATGGAAATCTCCAATTTTTCCCTGTCACAGGAGCAGGACATAAATAGGGATGAATAGTATATATAGTATGCTCTCATATAAACTTTTGTTCCTGTGATCATCTTATTGTATATTTGCTGTATTCTACAATTGCCCTCAGTAAACCCCAGAATGAATCATGAATAGTAAATTATAATATACCCCTAAAACTTGAGAATTTAGAAAAAAATCCATTTGAAATATTTCTTAGGAAGTGAGTTCTTCCACATATACTTTAAGTAATCTTATAGTAATAATTTATACGTATATTGATATAATAATACAAACAACTGGTATCATGTATGTACTCTTTTTAGTGGATGATTTTTACAATACAGATGTGGAATACATTCACTTCTTTTATAGCTGTTCTGCTTTATGTAAAATATACCGGGTAATCCGGATATAATATTTCTCCTTATATATTTGAAAGAATCTAAAGTCCGATGTCTGCGCCAATGTCCCATGGTGACACGATTGTCCTATGGCTTGTACCCCATGAGACACGCCGCGTTGCAATGCAATGGACAGACATGCCAAAGTCATATCCTGTGGTGAAACAATCAAAATTTATAAGGTCACAATATTCCAACCTCAATCTTCGACGTTGTTGTGCTGCATTTTTTCCGTTATTTCCAGATCAATTTGGCAGGGTATGCTTACTCATCCACGTCACCTGATCCCACTTTTGATGTTTTGGAGGTCTGTTTTTCTCTGCTCCTATTTTGCATTGTATTAAGGACTTTTGGCTTGAATACCCGAGAAATGTAGATTTTAGTCTGCATTAATACACTAATTAACTAGAAAAGGTTAGTATCGCTACCATCAAAATGATTTATGACCTTGCACAATATTGATGAGAGGTGGTCCCTCTCCAAACCAGGATGCTACACATTTTCCTGCCGATTAGAGGTAGTCTGGAACCTACAGGAGAGATTAGGGTCAGCCTCATAACCACTTGAGAAATTAGCGCTAATAGCACACATATATTTTGCATATTCTAGTTAACCATGCAATTTACCTCGGGTCAGCAAATATAATCGATATTCATTAATTTGGTATATATTTTAAACCATCAGACATTGGCCGGCTTTGCAATTGGGCTTAGCAGTGCTATGAAGTTTAAATATGTCAGTTGTGATTGTTTCATTTTGTAAATTTTGAATTTACATGGTGGCAATAAATTCAAAATTAAATACAACATGTCAATATAATTAGTGGAAATTGTACTTTAAATGCGCAAATGAACAAAATATGGTGAGGTAGTATCGATTTTAGAAGTAATGATTAACATATTTTTCCTTTGCTTATCATACATTTTTTAAAAGGCTGAGTTAAAAAATAGACAGACACTTGAAGATTAAAATATGTGTGTTGCGAAGTGATTTTCTCAGTTTCAAAATGTCTGACGTAGTCATTGGGTTTTTCGCCACAGTGGCGTTTATTGTCATTATCCTTTTTGATGTTGGAATTGTAACACCTTACTGGATAACGGTAGAAGAGACTCTTCTAAATTCTACAAGAAGTTTTACTCATGGTCTATTCTACAGTTTGGACTATCCTGGAAATGAAACTGGTTAGATTATATACTCGAGGATTTTTACAGAAAAAATGCTGATAAGAAAAATTCCATTCTTTTTGGAATAATCATCTGAAAATTTGTTTTATAGTCTATTCCAGATTTGAAAATAAGATATAGCTCTTAAAACTCATGCCAAAAGCTTATTGAAAAATTATTCAATTGATGTTTTCATCTTTTGTAATGTTTAATTAAGTTTTTGAAACTGTTGGAAAAGTAATTTTATTTTGTATCAGTACACATAAAATCCATCTGACGCGATTTCAGGTTACAGCTTACACAGCAATCGGTAAATGTAACCAATTGCAATTTGTATCCCCATAAAATCTGTACTTCAATATCATGAACATGTATTAGCCTTTAATATGGGGAACAATTATCTTCCATAATGCCTTATATGCTCTTAAAACTTTCAAGTATAATCATTGCCGTATATATCTATATGTTAGTCACTTTTTTGATAATGTACACTTTGTTACTATGATAATGTACTGTTTGGAAACAGTAAGTATAACCAAGTCACAGTCTGATGTTCAGAATTCTTTAATCAGTTGCATATGTGTGAATGTGGTAAAGAGCTGAAAAAATACATAACAAAAAACATAAGTACATATGACAATCATGACAAATCAAGACACAAAACAAAATACAAATTCATATTAAATTAATTCACATAATAACCTAACTTAAATACAACAATACTGAGACAATGAAAAAGTGTACATGTAATTTATAGCAAGGTGCCTAGCAAGGGAAATGACCATAAAAATAGGACGTAATTAAATATAAATATAATGTGCACAATGGGAATAAATAGTAAGCCTAAATAAATCAGTTATTATAAGAAATAACATTAACTCACAAAAAGTAAATGTCAACTTAGTAAGACTTCAACATGTAAACACGAGAAAAAATGGCGGTCTTTATAAAGTAGCAAGGCAAACTATTTTACAAGATAAATAACCAAGCGTGCTGAAAATGCTATTGCAACATATACTTATGAACACATGATGTATAAATGACTTACATTTTGCGAGGACATAGATGGAACAAGGTAGCAGAGGTATTCTGCACAAAACAAAAATGCGGCGGGACCGCTCCACGTTGGGTCAACGCAGGTAGAGAATACAAAAACACAGGAGAGTTACACTAAAGAGCAATAACTCCTAACATTATCAGTAAACACAGGAAAGACAACTCTCCGTTCCACTACAGATAACTTTTGCAAAGATTCTTTTTCGATAATATCAAGTCTTCAGAACATTGCTGTAATAAGAGACGGTCTAGTTTTAAATCTCAAGTTAAATAAAGCAACAATCAAATTTTCCCATTATGTCCTTGTTCGTTGTTGCTTGTACATGTAGCTATATCTAAGATATTTGTGACATATTGGTACTTTGAGATAATAACATTAATGTTACACAGCTTTTACCTAATACCTTTTGATTTTTACAGTTTTCGACAATTTAGTTATTTGGCTTAATATAGCAACATCCTTGTGTCTGACAATCCTCCCTTTGTTCTGGAGTTGTATCAGGTGTATCATTTGTTGCCGAAGCAGTAATAAAATGAAAATAGCCGGAAATTTACAGATAGTTGCTGTAAATGTTACTCTTTGCCTTACACTCTTGCAGGTGAGCATACGTCTATCAATTTGTAGATTTGAATATGCTTTGTTACCTTTGTAAAACTAAATGTGATGTATGTTTAGAATGAGATTTTTCTATTATATTGTAATTAGGGAGACGAGTGAAGTTTTCATTGTCCAATACTTGCATATATATTTTTAAGAACTGGTTATAAAATTTTCAAACAATTTTCTCATAATAAATTATAACTAATATCTGTATCAATCCCATAAAAAAAAAACCGAGAAAATTAAATTTTGACATTTTTGAGATGTCTTTTCCGGAAAGCAAATGGCAGTTTACGTCCCTTATACATAATTAGTCATTGCATATATGCAGTGCAAATCCAAACTAAACAGCACAGATTTTAGTGATGTTAATCAAAATATTTATAAAGTATTGATTTGATTTAAATATACATGTATATTATGTGATGTCCATAACGTCTATTTATCTATAACTTTGACAATAATCTTGATTTTCTAGACGTTAATAAAAACAATCACATATTTTTAGGTCTTCTTGGGTTTGCATCCGTCTTGACAGTGGTTGTTAAATTTGGCCTTAAACAACTTAGATGGTCATTTTATCTTACCGTTGCCTCAACCTGTGTTATTTTTGTACAGGTATACCTCTTAAAGAACTTGATAATTTTTATTACATTTCCAAGGGAATAGATTTAAGCCATTTCTAACCTTTTTTTAGACTGTGCTTCTGATAGTATATTCTGTACGGTCCAGAAACACAGATGAAAAATGTACAATATTTCTTGTGTACAGACGACGGCATTCATCTAAGTAAGTATTTTACCTCTGGTAATATGCAATATTATTTTGAAAGAAAATACATTTACTTTTATGAAATTTCAAGATTTACCTCATGTTTCTTAAAATATAATATTTCAATTCAATGGAAAACATATTAAAGAAATAAAACTATTAAAGCATACAATAATCAAACTGTAAATGATAAATATTTTTTCCTTTTTTTAGAGGAAGAGCAAACAACTTTAAAAGACTAAAGGCATGAATATAAACTCTCTTTCCTAGAAACTTTTATTTTTTCTAGTTGGAACTGAAAAAAACATGAGGTTCATGGAGAAAAAATATTTTTTGGAATCGTTATTTTATTGTATTAGCTCGTATAAGAAATGCTATCCTTCTGTGTTAAATAATTCAGAAATGAAAAAAAGAGAATTAGATAGATTACACAGTCAGTATGTACTGGTTCCTCCTGACAAAGCAGGTAAAACCATTATCTTTGTTTGTAAGACTCATTATTTAAATTATATTTTAGATGAAATAGAATTAATTCTAAAAGGTGAAGTACAACTTGTACCCAAAGCTCCTATTCTAATCAAAAAAATCTTTATCATCACTTTTATATAACTGTTATATATAACGTACAATAAAACGTTTTGTTGTGAGGTTGCCATTATATAGGTAACGTCTTCTGAAATACATGCATATACAAAAATAAAATAGATATATCAGACTCTGTAATGTTTTTAATTTCGAGTTGATCAGTACAAATTTATCGAATCAACGTACGAGTGAAAATGAATATTTCTATTGCAATTAACATCATCGATATATCAAAATGTCAAATTGAAGGTCACAGCAAGAGATTTGTATTTTTTCTTTGTAGAATTTGAAAAAAAAATAAATTCTCCTTCATTTGAAATTCATTGGAAAAAAATTTCTGCTGACGACGGATAATTTTTTATAAATAAGACTTTTCTCTAGTGTTATTTTAAAAGCAACGTTTTTAAATGTGCATTGAAATTGAAGTTATTATCTAATCAATAAAATTTCTCGAGAGCCACCTTTTCATGAGACATTTGAACAATTAGTTTATACTTATAGTATAAGCTTGCTTGGGTAAACGGTTAAAAGACGTTGATAGTTCAGAGTGTATATTTCAAACCAGTCTTTCATCGTCGAAACGAAACTAGTACTTCATTTAAACGCTCTCGTGCGTGTGCTCTCTCTCCCTCCCCCTCTCTTTCTCTCTTTCCTCATTAGAAAGAAAAAAATGTACACAATGACTCGATGATTTCCCAACAATCCTCGCATAAATAACAATATTTTTTCTTTTCATTTTCCAAACTATTTGCGCATTACTTTTTATATTCTAAAATGAATCTATAAAATAAGATCATGATTCATTTCATATTCTTCCTTTTTGTAGTTGCGTAACTTAAATATATTTTTCGAGCTGCCTAGTGCCAAGCGTCATATATTTCTGTGCAGATATGAAATTCCAAAAGCTTACATTTTTTCTCCATCAATAAGAAGTTAAAACAAGAAGTTTAAAATAAATATGAAGTATTGAGCCAAAAAAAAAAAAAAGGAAAAGATAGAATTAAGGAAATTTGTAAATACAGTGGCTATAGATCACTGTTTTTACGACTCCTCATTTTTGCAAGATAGCTTTTTGGTGTCTATAAGCGAAAAAAGATTTCACGATCTGTGGTTTTTCTGAAAAAAAAAGTCCTTAACAATGCAGATGTACGCGTGGAAAAAAATTTGAGCAGGAAACTAATGTAAATTCGCAAAAATGAAGTTCTTGCGATTAAAAATATTTTATCTTACTTTGTTTGTATTTTCCCTTTCCACAACGCGAGTATTGTCCAAAAAGTTCGTGGACAAATGCTTAATTTTCTTTATAAAGCCCGCAATGGCAAGCATGTACGATAATATATCAAGAAAGACTATTATTTAGTTAATATTAAAAATAAAAACAATGCACACTATATTATGAATTTTATAGGTGTAAATACTTTGTATGCACGGGCCAGTCTGATAACGCTAATTTCATGATAACGTCCAAAATGGTTTATTCCCACTTAGCCAAAACCTTCCAGCATGTTCTTTTAAATTACCTACATTATTTAATATATTGCCAGCAACACATACACTTGCACTTGTATGCCGATGAGTTATATGGACTAATTCGAGGGTTGTCCGTTCAAGACAAGCTTCCTAGATCAAAAAGTAATTAACGATACATTAAAAAAATACACATAGGTTAATCATTCATTACAATATACACATTATATTATAAAATGATAAATACATAATTATACTCACAAATTAACAAAACATGGCAATAAATACAGTCACGTATCATATGTGGTGTTGCCTTATGGCGCATGGATGATACGTCAAATAAGAATGTTCATTGCAACGTCGTGCTTTATCTGATTGATATTAGTTGTTAAAAATGTCTGTCAGTTTGAACCAGTACATGAATTTTATTCTTTAAACAGGCGAGGGACAAATCTCACACATACGCACACATGGAGACCTTCTGAAATGTTATAATATGATATCTAGCTACTCTTTATTTTATTCAACTGAACAGACAATCTCGGATCAGTCTAATTCATGGCGTGTTTTATTGAGTAAAATTGTAAGTTTGCCATCACTGTTTTACTGAAACATCCAAGTACAAAATAGATGTGTCATGCGTTCTTTTCTTTTGAGTTCAATAGGATATATCGTATCAAAGTACTAGATATAAATACTGCTAATTTAATATATATTAAAGTTGAATAGTTATTTCTGTTTCTAAATTAAATCATTGAATAATCATATGGTCTCTAGATGACCAGTGTTAATTCTCGTATCCGTATCTCTGTTGCTTCTCGTATTTTGTGATTCTCGAGTTGGTCAAACACTTTGTGAATAGACAAAAGGGCATCCTCTTTATGGCCAGCAATTTGTTGACAGATACCTAAAATTTGCCACGAAATGTCTGCCGAAGATTGCTTCATATATAGACCCTGATCGTAGTGAAGGACATGCAAATCTTGAAGATCAATCTGTGATTTATTTGGATCCAAGTATTGGTGACACAAAAAGGATAAAAAGTAAAGCATGAATAATGGAGGGATAATCAATGCAATATTTCTATTCTTTAAAGTAATCATTTGCTCGAGCTTTAACTCGTCAATAAACGACATATTCCATTCAAGGTATATATCCTTGATAACAAGTTCATTTATCCGTGAAGATAATGGCAATCTACCTGCAGCTCTTTCATAATCTGATAAGTTTCTCATTATAAAGTAAACTACAAAACGTGGCATCTTAACCTTTAAATGATCCAGAATCTCCAAAGCTTTTGAGTAATTGTGCATTTTATAATGACAAAGTGCCGTAAAGAGAGAAGTGGACAGATATCCAAATTTGTTTGATAACGTCAACATATTAAGTGATGTTTTATACGAGATATACTTAGTCTTGCGGGATATTGTTGAAATACAATTAGCAAGTTTAAATGCAATACTTCGAAAGTATTCAGATGCAAAAATTTGAAGGCTAATTTTTTGATACATGGAAAAATAATTGTTACAAGTGATAAGTTCCTGCAATGCCTGAAGACGCCGCAACAAATGTATTGAGCAACCTGCAGAAAATTCCTTTTCTAATTCCTTGAAATATTCAACATCAATTGAAACTGAGGAGGCATCGTTATCATAAAAAGAAGAGCGTAAAAATGAGCAATTAGGGCTAAATGCTCTAATAGTAGAATCCCCAAATGACGGTAATGAAGTTCCAGTCTGAAATGCATATAATACTATGTGTTCCAAACTACTGTAAAATCACATATTTTCGTGGGGACAAATTTCCGTGGTTTGAGGAAAATCTCTTGGTTCGTGGGGATTTGATCAAGAATCAATGAATACTTATGTGTGACATTTTACATTTTGTGGTGGACATGAATTCGTGGGTCTCTTCACACCACGAAAACAACGAAAATTAAACCCCCACGAAAATTTGTGATTTCACAGTATTTCTATTCATAGAGGGTAAAAATGCGCTTCTGAATAATGTATTTATGGACTGGGATTCCAGTAAACAGGAAGGACCACAGCTGTATAAATCCAAAAGCTGCTGAAGCAAACTACGCTATACGTCCCCTTCAACCTTTCCTAGAAACATGTTGTTTTCCGGAATGAAGAAATTGGGACACACTCCATGATATACGTAATTTATGATAGTTTGAAAACAGATCCAGAAGCATTTGATGAGATTTTTTGGGAACCAATTCTGAACAATGTTTTCTTGAACTACCCAGAGCAGTGTTGTTTTCAAATAATAAGAACATAGCACCCTTTCCTGAGCATTGCTTTTATTAATGACCTCATTTAGAAATAGCTTAAGAAGCCCGTAGCACAGAAATTGACAGTGATTCAAAGAAAACATGAGGATGTGCTCTGCAATTGAAAAGGAAATCCTCCATTCGACGTCTTCATACGAGGACAACTTATGACCAATTGCTACAGCATGACAACCACTATTAACGATTTTGCTTAGTGTAGCCATTGATGGCCATAGGTTACTTGTGCATCTCTCAATCCAAGACAAGGCTTGTGCAGGCCATATGTCTGACATAAAACAGCATGCGTGATCATATTGTTCATTAGTCACCTCAACTGTTCCACTAGTGCACGGACCATGAGATTCATCTTCTGGATTGCCATATTTAAGAAACATTACCTCCCGGTATTTACTGCTCGATATGTATAAAGCATTGTTTTCTTCAATGCATGCACGATGAACTCTAAACCGGTCGATATTATTCAATAATCGAAGAAGAACA